ACAAAGATAACACAAGTAAACACAAAATGCAGTTTTTAAATGAAGGTTTTTATTATTAAGGGGAAAAAAAAATCCAAACCTACATGGCCCTGTGTGACAAAGTGATTGCCCCCTAAACCTAATAACTGGTTGGGCCAGCCTTAGCAGCAACAACTGCAATCAAGCGTTTGCGATAACTGGCAATGAGTCTTTTACAGCGCTGTAGAGGAATTTTGGCCCACTCATCTTTGCAGAATTGTTGTAATTCAGCCACATTGGAGGGTTTTCGAGCATGAACCGCCTTTTTAAGGTCATGCCACAGCATCTCAATCGGATTCAGGTCGGGACTTTGACTAGGCCACTCCAAAGTCTTCATTTTGTTTTTCTTAAGCCATTCAGAGGTGGACTTGCTGGTGTGTTTTGGATCATTGTCCTGCTGCAGAACCCAACTGCGCTTCAGCTTGAGGTCACGAACAGATGGCCGGACATTCTCCTTCAGGATTTTTTGGTAGACAGCAGAATTCATGGTTCCATTTACCACAGCAAGTCTTCCAGGTCCTGAAGCAGCAAAACAGCCCCAGACCATCACACTACCACCACCATATTTTACTGTTGGTATGATGTTCCTTTTCTGAAATGCCGTGTTACTTTTACGCCAGATGTAATGGGACATACACCTTCCAAAAAGTTCAACTTTTGTCTCGTCAGTCCACAGAGTATTTTCCCAAAAGTCTTGGGGATCATCAAGATGTTTTCTGGCAAAACTGAGACGAGCCTTTATGTTCTTTTTGCTCAGCAGTGGTTTTTCGTCTTGGAACTCTGCCATGCAGGCCATTTTTGCCTAGTCTCTTTCTTATGGTGGAGTCATGAACACTGACCTTAATTGAAGCAAGTGAGGCCTGCAGTTCTTTGGATGTTGTTCTGGGGTCTTTTGTGACCTCTTGGATGAGTCGTCGCTGCACTCTTGGGGTAATTTTAGTCGGCCGGCCACTCCTGGGAAGGTTCACCACTGTTCCATGTTTTCGCCATTTGTGGATAATGGCTCTCACTGTGGTTCGCTGGAGTCCCAAAGCTTTAGAAATGGCTTTGTAACCTTTTCCAGACTGATAGATCTCAATTACTTTGTTTCTCATTTGTTCCTGAATTTCTTTGGATCACAGCATGATGTCTAGCTTTTGAGGATCTTTTGGTCTACCTCACTTTGTCAGGCAGGTCCTATTTAAGTGATTTCTTGATTGAGAACAGGTGTGGCAGTAATCAGGCCTGGGTGTGGCTAGAGAAATTGAACTCAGCTTTCCAAAGATGTGATAAACCACAGTTAATTTATGTTTTAACAGGGGAGGGCAATCACTTTTTCACACAGGGCCATGTAGGTTTGGATTTTTTTCCCCCCTTAATAATAAAAACCTTCACCTTCATTTAAAAACTGCATTTTGTGTTTACTTGTGTTATCTTTGTCTAATATTTAAATTTGTTTGATGATCTGAAACATTTAAGTGTGACAAACATGCAAAAAAATAAGAAATCAGGAAGGGGGCAAACACTTTTTCACACAACTGTAGGCTTTTAGCTTGTGCATTGACACAGTATTTAATTTCTTCCCTTAATCACACAAGCTGCAGGTGTCACTGAATGATTGTACCGCCATCAAAAACTGTGTGTTTGTGTGTGCGTGTAAAACAACCACTAAGTCTGCGAGGGTTAAATTTCCAGCAATTCCCTGCATTTTCATCTTTCATGAAACCAGCACGTATTGCACCATTCAGGGGAGAAATAGCAAGTGATTTGAGTATTTTCATTTGCAGGATTAGTGTATATATGTGTGTGTGTGTGTGTGTGTGTGTGTGTGTGTGTGTGTGTGTGCGTGAACGCATGCACATGTGGAAGTAAGTTTCTGCGTGAGCGTTAATGACAAGAGGGGAAATTGGAGTAATGATTGTATTGATCCATGCTGATGCTTCAGCCGTGACATAACTACACACACTAATTGGGCTGCTCTAGTGAAATGCAGGAGCTACTTATAGTGCCTCTGAATCATGTCTATTCACCATCTAAATGACAGATGTGTGTGTTAGTGAGAGAAAGAGCGCGAGTGTGTGCAGGAAATGTCATGTTGTATGTTCGATTTCCTTTCCGAAATACCGTACAGCGATGCAATGACTCTAAAACTCTAAGGCTGCCATGCAGTCTTGAAGCAGTACATTTATTTTAAATGAAACTAGTCATTTGAACAATGTTTTCAAATGGTGGATTTCCTACTTTTGAAAAATGCGTTTTAGAGTTGGGGTGACATTTTGGTTATTAGTCAGGTCTTGATCACTCCAGTTAGTCAAAATGCAGACTGCTTGTGTTCACATGCTGTTCTGATAGAATTGAAAAAGAAAATTAATGTAAAACTAACTAATGACTGAGAGAAAAATAGTTGTTGCACTGATTTCAACTTTGACGGTGCTAATAACAAAATGGATAAAGAATAACAATACTGGCAAGAAAAAAGGGGCCAATGGCAGGAGCCTCCTGGCGACCTCATCCGGGGAATCCAACATGTAAGGCAGTTGGAAACGCACTGGAAACTATAGTTTTTCTTTGTACTGGCTAAAGCTGGACCTGGTTAGGTTAAAGTTCAAACAACTATCCTGTTAGTGGTGAGTTGCGATAGATCTTTTTTTAAAGAGGACATTTTGACTTGTCACAGTAGGAAAAGCAAATGTGTAAATAATCAGATTAAAGATGGCTGAACTCCATTCTGCTGCTTCAGTTTCAGGCTCTTGTTAATGTGCAGGCCGACTCACTGTCACATTGTCGTGGCTTACCGTGACTCATGAATAAAACGGAGCTGTTGTTAATGTTATTAGTAACACCTGTGGTTTTCCCACAAGTACTCTGTGCAGTGGGACGGAAGCTTTTTTTCACAGCAAACTGTCACACAGCCGATCCCAGATGGCAAGTCTTACACAATATTTTTTTCTCACATAAAGCATTTTTCCTTCTCCAACAGTATATTTGGCAGCATTTACTGACGTATATGTAAATTAAGTGTCTTCTTTGTGTGACGAATAGTCTTAAACATTAACAGAAGTAGTACAATGTGTGTTGTATTGTGCAAAACTGTGATGTGAATTGGTTAAGAAGCATTGTTCTGGATAACATTATCAGGTTAATCTAATCTTTGATGAGCTTTAGAAGTAGAACTTGTAGCCTACGCAAGTAAGACCTCATGACTGGTCTCTGATGGCCTAGAAAGCAGCTGTTGAGGAGGGTTTTAATTTCATCTATCTACTATTTGGGATATTTCAGGTCTTTCAGGTACACAGTCTCAACACCATCGGAGCGGTGTTTGATACAATACCATGATAGTACGATCTAATGTAATCCAGCACAACAGCTCTGCAATAACTCTTTGTGAAATATGTATTTGCTGAGACTATCTCAGGGTATTGATTCAATTTATCAGTAATTTCTGAAGTTGTGCTTCGTGGTGTTGTTGTTTATTGAATTGTAATATATGCGAGGTGTAGCTAGTAGAGCATTTCATCCACTTTCACGTTATACTGTCCAATGTTGAGTAAGTTTGAGATACAGATGATGTCATTGTGTCGCTCAATGTGGGGGAACTAACCAAGCATGTGTGATGTAGCTGTGTAACTGTACCATCATAATAATATCATTTAATGCTCAGAGTAGCACCACATTTCAGGATATCCTTTCTGACAGACAGAAAACTGCATTTCAACCTCCATCCTTTTTTCATGCTTTCTGTCCATGCTTTCTGGACCCAAAACAAGATTAAAGGCAAAATAATACTTATTTAAAACATCTTCAAATTTGAAGAGGTTTTCTTCTTAGTGGTAGAACAGTATCATGCCATTCATGCCCATTTGATGGTTAACGTTAAATAAGTAGATGTTATTGCATGACACAAGGAGATTGTAGGTATAGCTCATTAAAATATAGAGGAGGACTGTGGTTCGTTCATTAGAACCTGCAGCCAACAGAAGTGTTACCATGATGCATGTTGATTCAACTGACTGATGTTTCACTGAACAGAGAGTGAAACAGCTTCTTGATTCACCAGATGTTTGCGTCTCAGTGGAGTCACACACTATTCAGCAGAATTATGACCTGCAGCTTTATTTAGTTGTGAACTGACTGGACCCACGGGAGTACCATATAAATAACTGTTCTCTCACATCCACATTTAGATACAGTAGACGGATATTTGGTTG